TCCCTCTCTGCCTGGCTGCTCTCCAGCCACTCTGTGCCCAGCCTGTAGCACTGCATGGGGTTGTTGTGGCCAAAGTGCAGGACCTGGCACCTGGCTTTGTTAAGCTCATCCTGTTGGAATCAGCCCAACTCTCCAGTCTGTCCAGGTCCCTCTGCAGAGCTGTCCTGCCTTCCAGCTGATCAACACTCCCCCCCCCCAGTTTGGTGTCATCTGTAATTTTGCTAATGGTACACTTGATTCCCTCATCTAAATCATCAATAAAGATATTAAATAGGACTGGGCCCAACACTGATCCCTGGGGGACACCACTAGTGACCGGCTGCCAACTGGATGCAGCACTGTTCACCACCACTCTCTGGGCCCAGCTCTCCAGCCAGTTCCTAACCCAGCACAGAGTGCCCCTGTCCAAGCTGTGGGCTGTCAGCTTTTCCAGGAGAATGCTGTGGGAGACGGTGTCAAAGGCCTTGCTGAAGTCCTGATAGACTACATCTGCCGCCTTCCTGCCATCCACAAGGTGGGTCGCCTGATCATAAAAGAAGATCAGGTTGGTCAGATGGGACCTGCCCTTCTATTGGTGGAGGGGCACGGAACAGATTGCTCACAGGCCAATTTGGTCGGCAAAATGTCGGTTTATTACAAGAAGAACACTCATTATATACTGCTGCTACACCTGGACGCGTGATTCTTCTTCACACAGCACTGGATACATAAGAGAAATATATTTTGTTGTCCACTGCTAATTGGACCACAAAAAGTGTCCATATGAGCAAAGGGCATATGTTCACCCTCTTGAAACTCCACCTTAACCTTGGCAGGAAGCCTTCTTTGTCCTAACTTCAAAGGCTGAAGCCATATTAGCTACACAGTTCTTTTACTGTCTGCACGCAGCCATGCCAAGGTAAGGCCTATAGAAATGCAAGGGGAATTGTTCACACACGATCTCTATTCTCCCAACACCCTTCCTAAGTCTGTGCTGGCTGGGTCTGATTCCTTGTCCATCCTGTACGTGCTGTGTGATCTTGCTTAGGATGATTTTCTCCATAACCTTGCCAGGCACTGAGGTCAGGCTGATGGGCCTGTAGTTTCCCGAGTCCTGCTTCTGGTCCTTTTTGTGGATTGGCGTGACATTCACTAACTTCCAATCATCTGGGACCTCCCCAGTGAGCCAGGACTGTTGGAAAATGATGGAGAGTGGCTTGGTGAGCTTTTCTGCTGGTTCCCTCATTACCCTTGAGCGGATCCCATCTGGTCCCATAGACTTGTGAAGATCCAAGTGGCTCAGCAGGCCACTAACTGTTTCCTTCTGGATTACAGGGGGGCTATTCAGCTTCTTATCTCTGTCTATCAGCTCCAGAGGCCAGTTGCCCTGAGGACAACCTGTCTTACTGTTGAAAACTGAGGCAAAGAAGGTGTTAAATACCTCAGCTTTTTCCTCATCTTTGATGACTATGTTCCCCCCCATGTCCAATGAAGAATGGAAGTTTTCCTTGCCCCTCCTTTTGCTATTGATATATCTGTAGAAGCACTTCTTGTTATCCTTAACAGAAGTGGCAAGATTGAGTTCAAATTGTGCCTTTGTCTCTCTACTTTTCTTTCTATATAACCTAATTACATTCCTAAACTCTTCACGAGTAGCCAGTCCTTTTTTCCATAGTCCGTAAGCTCTCTTTTTTCCCCTAATCTCCTTCAAAATCTCCCTTTTCAGTCAGGTCAGTTGTCTTCCCTGCTGGCTTGCCTTTCAGCACACTGGGACAGCCTGCTCCTGTGTGTTCAAGACTTGCTTCTTGAAGCATGTCCATCCCTCCTGGACCCCTTTGTTTTCAAGGGCTGTTTCCCAAGGTACCCTCTGAACCAGTCTGCTGAGCAGGTCAAAATCTGCCCTCTGGAAGTCCAGGGTAGAAGTTTTATTGATGGCCCTCTTTGTGTCCCTGAGCATTGAAAACTCTATTATTTCATGGTTACTGTGCCCCAGATGGCCTCCAACCACCACATCTCCCACCAGCCCCTCTCTGTTTGTGAACAGCAGGTCTAGCAGGGCTCCATTCCTGGTAGGCTCATTTACCAGCTGGAGCGGGAAAAAAGAGGGGAAGCCAGGCAGGGTTGGTCATTCTGGTAGGTCTACAGTTCATGCAGGATAAACTCTGACAAATGAGACATTAAATACAAGTGAAAACAAATTTCATAAAAGAAGAAATAAGATGTTCTTGCTGTGCACAATTTTTTTCATTCATGAATGAAGGACCATCACCATTAGTTCAATCTCCACTTCTCCAATTAAAGCAATGTACGTCAGAATCTGCTTATTGCAGCTGTAAATGTCTCCATTTCAGTGTTCTGATTTACTCCATTACAGTTCTATTTTTTCCCCGTTCAGGACTAGTTGTTGCTCTCCTAGAGATCATTCAGGTCAAGGACTGCATGCAAAAGTCCTCTGAAACAAGATGTGAAGAGGAGGGAAAAACTCTAAGGTTTCAATGTTTATATGACGTGGAAAGTGTCAGTTCCACTGTTGCTGATGCAGTAAACTGTGTGAGTACGTGGAAAAGCACTGTGTGCATTAGCCTTTTCATCCCTTGCCTTTACAGGCTTCTGTCAAATATCATGTGAGTTAATTCTTTCAGAAAGCTGCAAAACAGTAACAATTTCTTACTTTTTAATTATCATTTGGTGACAGACATTGGATGAGGGAAGGAGGCGGACATCATCTGGGGATAAAACACTAAGAGGTTTTTGTCTGTCAGCAGCTGTGCATGAGCCATTAGCAGCTGCGCACACACTCTTGACTGTTTTAGGATAAAATCCTACAGAAAAGTATCACTCCAGATGGGGAAGGTTTATGTATGCCAGTCCTCAACCAATCACGCTGCGAGCATATTCCTTCCTATGCTGGTCACTGCTCAGCCTCCAGTAATCCATCCTGGTGCATCTATACTAGCCATCTTCTTCCACTCTTGCATGATGTTAACATCTTCCACTCTAAAGACATTAACATCATCAGAACCTTGTGTGTTTGAGTGCACTAGGCATAAACATTCTGTTAGAGCTGGAATTGCCAAGGAAAGTCCTCAGATCCCATTTTGAAATACAGCTCCCCAATGCACCTGATCTGCACTGTGGTGTGCAGATTTGCACATCTGTTTCTCTCTTAGGTTTAAGCATCTGTTGTGTAAAGGACAAAGTATGTAAAATGATGTGAAAAATATCATTGAAAATACCACAGTCAAGATTGTGAGACTTTACCAATTCTTTTCTACTATACTTTCAATGTGCAAAATGAAAAGTGTGTTGATAATGTGTGAAAAACAAACTTATGTCAAACCTATTTCAAATGAAAGCACAGGACCTACATGTCTATGCTCTAATATATCTTTATGCTTTTGCAGGTACACACAGTACTATAGCTCCTGTGATAACAAGATATTGATTCTCCATCATTCTGCAACCCAACCAAACACACATATTTAGGGGTAAATATCAGCATCTTGCATTTTTCTGAGCAAAGATCAAGGCCCTCCTCCTCACTCATGGTTTGTAAACAGCTGCTTACCACTGGCAGAAATGTTCTCTCAGCTCCTACCTCACCCCACACTCCCCAAATACAATCCCCAATTGTTAGGACAACATGTGTAGCCACACCAAAGACAATGCACATTCTATTTTCTTAGAGTGTATGTAGAGTATTGGGAGCTACAACTACCTTCTGTTTCCTTTCTGACCAACAGCTTTCCTCTGCCTCCTAGAGGCTTCTAAACTGTAACTTACATACTTAAATGTCAGATGGCACGAACTGGAAGTGGATTCCAGTTTCCTGTTGACACAAAAAGTAAGTCCAAACCACCTCTTGGCATATGTGAAATGGTTGTCTTCGCAGTCGGGTACCCCTGCCATTTCACGCATTTCAGGAAGACAGGCAGGTGCCTGTGGCAGCACAGCCCTCCCGGTGGGAATTGCATCCCTGTGTGCTCCAGCCGTGCTCGCAGCATCTCACATGTTGCGTGTCCCTGCACTCATGGCTCGGCCCCGTGTTTTCAGTCAGCATTAAGACTCAGGGACAAGGAAAAGCCGCTTGGCAGGAGTGTCTAACCGGAGTGATGTGTTTTGTTTATGAAAACGAATGCCACTCAATACCTGGCCTTCCCTCCTCACTTACATCCCAGAGATGCTCCCTTGCGTTGGGCACACACTGCACTGTTAGCAAACGAACCGAAAAAGCCTCTGTGACCTCCAGCGCCGCCACTCGACCCCGGGGCCAGGCAGACCCCTACCTTTTGCCCTCTCCCAATTTGCCTGCTCCCTGAGGAGCAACGCAGGTTTCCCAAGGGACAGGAGAGCCCGCGGAACGTCCCCACCGCATCACTCTCAGCCCGCTGGGGCTGTGCAGGCTCCCACCCCACTCCTCGCCCCTTGCTTCGCCCAAGGTGAAGCATCCACCCACGCGCGCTCCTGCCTTTCCGTGCAAGGCGCAGTCAGGGCCGGCAGAGGTTCCCCCCTCCTCCTCTCCCTCCCCCACAGGCTGCCGGCTCCTCCCCTGCCCTCCCTCCCCGCCGCGGGCGCCGCGGGCCCCTCAAGGACTCGGCGGGGCTCTCAATGTCAGGCGGGCGGACGGCGCGGCCGCCGGCAGGGGGCGGGCACGGGGCGGCGGTGCCCGCCCTGCGCGGAGCGCGCTCGGGCCGGCGGCGCTGCTGCTGCCGGGCGGCGCGGAGCTCAGCCCAGCCCAGCCCAGCCCAGCCCGCCCCAGCCCAGCCCCAGCCCAGTCCAGTCCAGCCCAACCCACTCCAGCCCAAGGGCGGCCGAGCCCAGCCGCGCCGCTGAAGGGCACCGGGCGGCGACGAGGCTTCCTCGCGCTCTCCCGCGGCTGGGGCGCGCCCCCCCGCAGCATGGAGGCTGAAGCGCAGCTCCTCCGCCGGCAGCCGGGGACGATTGGCAGCGCTAACTCCTTCCCAGCCAAGCAGGCGCTCCGGCGGAGAAAGCCCAGAGCAGCCCCGGCAGCGGCGGCGTGAAGGAGCATGGCAACTCGTGTGCTTCAAAGTGGACCGGAGGCGGGGGCGAGGAGCCGTGGTGGCTTCGAGATGCCGAGGGACCCCGGCGGCAGTACGGCTTCATGCAGCGGCAGTTCACCTCCATGCTGCAGCCGGGGGTCAACAAATTCTCCCTCCGCATGTTCGGGAGCCAGAAGGCGGTCGAGAAGGAGCAGGAAAGGGTTAAAACTGCGGGGTTCTGGATCATTCCACCCCTACAGCGACTTCAGGTGAGCGCGGGGCTCACGGCGGGCGGGAGCGGGGTGGCCCCGCCGCCTCGCACCTCGTCCGGCGCGACTTCGGCGGGCCGCCGGACGGGCGGTGGGGCAGGGGCTGCGACCCGTGCTGGGACGGCCGCGGTCTCGGCCCGGCCCGGCGCTCTCCAGAGTGCTGCACCCGGGACGGCCCCGCAGGCCCCGCGCCCGCCGGGGCGCCGCCCGCAGCCCCTGAGGAAGGATGGAGAGCTTCATGGCCCTCTGTCCTGCCCTGCCGGTCTGTCCGCCCCGCGGGACCGCGGTCCGTCGGGCACGGCTCTGCCCTAGAGTGTGAGAGCTCGCCAGGGGGTTACACAGCTGCATCAGCATCAATAAAATCCCTGGGTGTCTGCACGCGGCTGCCCTTCCCTGAGCACCGGGCATAAACACTTGTTCCAGGGGTTGCGTGAGGGAAGCGCATCTCAATCAGAGTTAAATCAATCAGAGTAAAATAAGTTCATCCAGGTGATGTGTGGGAAACTGTGTTTTCGTAGGGAGGCAGGTAAATGTGATGCCAAATTAGCATTGCTTTTATAGTAAGCTGAATGAATGTAGGATGGGAACAGTCATACAGAAAGCAGGGCAGATAATTTCCCAAAAAGTTATATTCCCTTTAGAATTACATTTTTAAGTGTAGGATTGTTTAATTGCATTCTCCATGCCAGCTGGCTGTATGCCTTTGTAAATGTAACGTTCTCTGTGATATTTGCCGAGGAACTATTGGTGTCATTAAGCGAATTTAATCAACAGCTTGCATTGAACAACCTACGTCTATATGATAAGTGAATTGCACTGGAGACCATGTTTAATAAAGGAAAATCCAGAATGTTCAATAGTTACACGGATCTTCTAAGAAACACTGGGCTAAATAGAACATGCTTCCAGTGGAAACAGAAGGAAATACTTTCAAAGTTCAAGTTTCTGTGGGACTATTTGGAGTGAGGTGTTATGCAGTGTGCCGTGTTAGCACCTTGCAGTTGAGCCCGAGAGCAGTACAACTGCAGGAGTGAAGGAGCGTGGCAGCACTGTTATGACTTGGAATTATGCTTCAAGTCCCTGCTTGTCTTCCTGGTTCCCAGAGGGCAATAAACTGCACTTGTTCTTTTCCTGAAGTACCTTTTCCCCCCTTTCATGCCAGCTCAGCTGCACTAGCAGGTGCATTTAAGGGGGGAGAGAGCCACTCACCCACCCACGTCCTTTCTACCAGCCAGAGAGGGACATAGCAGGTCACATCTGCTGCTGTGGTAGAATGCATAGGGGATTAGGAGGGTCTGATAGCCTCTTACTTACCCGTGTGTGTGCATGAGTAACTTTATTCATATGAGAATTCTGTTAAGATGAATGAGTTTTTTCTTGTGAGTAATTTCCCTTGTTTTGTTGTAAGCTCTGTTTCTAAACGAGTTGCACACCCAGACAACGTTTTGTGCGATAGGAACTTATTTGTCATATTTTGCAGCATGTAACTTTTTAAGCTATTGTGTGAAATAAGTGTTTTGTTACAGAAATATCTTCTAATTCTGTCCTAATTCTTCCAGTGGGAAGATTTAGAGATTGTAGCATATGTTTGCCTATTTTTTTCGATAGGAGTAAACAACTCTGCATCCGTTTCAGGACTGTTGTTTGAATAGTCTTGAATCAACTGTATTTTCTGGTGATTTAATGATGTTTTTATTTGTTTTTTAGAATGGAACTATTTGGTTTTTAAATAAAGTTCATAGTCTTTCATTCGTTTTTGGATGGTGTGGCCTGCTCCAGACCCAGTTTTTTAGCTAGTAGGACCATCTTGGTGAGGAATATGAGATGTTTTTGTTTCTTTTCTCCTAAAATACTTGCTACTGTATAATGATACAATTCTTTTTGGGTGGCAGTGTGAAATGTGTGAGGAGTTGCCCTATATAGTGTATTCACCTTCTTATTTGGCAATTATGACAATGCTAGTAAGTGCCTCCTAGCAGTATCTCTGTACCAGAATAAATGTGTATGTACGATGGAGTGGTCTTAATTTCTGTTTTGCATGTTACTTTGTAACAATTTAATGCTAGTGTGTAGACCAACCTTAAAACATGGAAAGAAGCAGGGGTATTCCAGTGTCACTGTGTTGATGTTGATACCATCAGGGGAAAGAACTAGATTTTCTACCCAAGTAACAAAGAAAAGGTAGAAAGCTGAATATTTTATGGTATCCAAGTGAGAAGATGTAGACTGCGTTTGTAAATGCAGCTATTATTAGGGTGTTTGTGGCACATATGAGAACAGACATCCCAGTAAACTTAAAGTATAGACACACTTAGGAGAATATTGGGTTAACCATGTAAAATGTGAGAAAATTCTAGTAAAGGCTCCTGCGCACTTGTTTTGGATTTTTTTTCCTCCTAGTTCTGGATGCTTGTGTGCATTTCCTTGAAGAGTTTGATGCATTTGGCTATATCTGTTTACCTAATTCTCTTTTTTTAAAAATAAAAATAGTATATTTTCCTACACCAAGCAGTATTTTGTTGTGACGTTTGGAGAAGTGGGCAGCATCCCTGCACCATCTTCTCCTTTTTTTTGGTATGAACAAAGTGTGGAAGCTGTGTCTCTAAATTTGGTGCTCTGTGAATTGGTTACCTCCATCCTTGTAGGACTTTGTCTTTAGTTTTATGGCTCTCCATCCTGCCTACGTTTCAGGGAAGAATTGTCTCTTCATCAGGCAGATACACCCTTGGAGTATTAAATTCAATAAGTATTACATAATTTTTCCGTAAGGGGACCATTTTGTTCCTGGTCGTCTTTTTCTAGGCTTCTGAGGTTAATGTGTAATTTGGAAGCTGTTGTGTAAACCAAGCACCTAATGCACATCAAACCCAGCACAAGACCTCCGTTTATCTCCTTGCAACTGTGGTTGCTGTGTCTCTGAACTTGGACAACAAGTCTGTGTAATTGCATGACTCACAAAAATAAATTTATCAGTCAGAGTTTACTGAAGTTCTGAGTGCGTTCTGTAAGATGCTGAGTGCCTCCGTCCATCTGTTCTCATGTGTGGAAGAACGAGCCCGCAGGAGGGATCACTGGTCCAGCCCTGTGGCCTTGCAGCCACCAGGTGAAAGCAGCACAAAGCCAGCAGGAGATGGGAGCAACTGCACACGGTTTTCCTGCTACCACACATTTCACTTGTTTCATAGCAGGGTTGTGGTGAAATGGGCATTTGGTGACTTTTATGTGTTACGGCCTTTTGGTGTTAATGGAAATGTACGTAGCTGACTTTTCAAATAATTAATTATTCAGTGTCCTTTGGCATGTCAGGAGTTTCTTTAATGCTCAGAGGGCTTGCTTGCATGTGCCTGGGCTGTTAATCCAGCCCTGTATTGTCTCCATCCCTCCCGGCCTGTGGGTACGCGGAGAAGCTCCCACTGTCATGGAAATCTTGAGTTTATCACCATTTCTGCAACAGCATCTGTAGACAGCAATCTGTAAAGAAAGCAGAATTACTACCGGAGTGGTATCTCTTGACCAGAAATAGCAATGTACGAGACAGACTGAGTGGAAATAATATGTGTATGCCTAAGTGTAGCCTTCACACTCTGATGGTTACGGTATTCAGCTTGATGTTTGATAGCAGCCTTTGTCTGCAATTGGGGACAAAAATTATAATTGGCTTCAAGATGAAGTGAAGTAAGACTGTGTTGTGGTGGTGTCTGTCAGAGTAGTAGTGGAGGCAGTGCTGAAGGTCTTTTTTCAAGTGTACATGAATACAAAGTATGAACTGATCTGCAGCAATTAAGATAAAACTATCAACATTTTATCTTGGGGTAACTTTACATATGTCCAAGAAACTCAAAGCCTTATTTTAATGATAGCATTAAAAAAAAAAAAAAGCAGAGTTAATTCCAAAACTAGAACAGAAAATTTCAGAGCACTGTGAATACTAAAGGTATACAATATTTATTTTAGCTTGTATGTCATCCCAGTTTCAAAATCTTTTTGTATACAGATTTGAGGGATCATGTAAATGCTTGAGGTTTATCATATAAATCTTTATAAGTTATAGAAAGCTCTGTTAGTAATACCTTTTGAGTAATTTAATGCCAGGTTTCAATAGGTTTTAATCAGGGTGAAAGACACAGTAATGTTTGCATGTGTATGTCTAGCTAGTTACCAAAGACTATTTTTGCATCTGTTGCTATTAAAAAACATTGTTATATTCTGCAGTTTTATGCAACCCATCCATGTTGTCCTCCATATGTACAGCTTAAATTTTCAAGTAAGTGTATGCCAAACTGTAAGTCGCAATTACCATGTATTAGTGCACCTCATGTGGTTTTGTTTGTTTGGCTTTGTTTGTTTGTTTGGTTTGGTTCTTTAAATTATAGTTTTGGGGTTTTTTTAACATTTGAACTTACATTTACTTTATGAATCAATTTTCTTTTTCATTTTCACCTATCCTTTGGACCTGTCTGACCACCAGTAATCACCCTAACTTGGTAGACTGTGTAGCTCACAATCATATTCTAAAGTTTGTGCATTGGTTTAAAACCTATTCTTCTTCGGGCCCAGTCTTCACTCTGCGTGTTATACCTAGCATTTGCATTTTAAGAAGCTTAGGGTAAGCACTTTGTCCTTTTCTTTTGTCACGTCTCTAATGTCTCTTTTGAAGCTAATGAGATTTATCTTTTCGTGAGCTGTTACATGCTTAGGTTTACATAGAGCAGTAGAGTTGGAAGGTAATACTATATGCAGTGAGGACAATGTATTATATCATACTTAAATGTAATTGATAGAGATATATGTATGCAAAATGAAGTATATAAATCATGTTAGTTTATATTAAATAGATTGGATACAAATTAGTGTGGGTTTTAATGCATACATTATGTCACTGGTAGTGCAGGAGTATGAAATGTCTATAATTTTGGATTCCTAAGGTAGTCATTTAATTCTTACTACTCAGGATTTGTCCTGAGATTGTTCTGCAGTATTGGCATTTTTGAATTATTTGC